TACGCCCAATAGAGAAAACTAAAGGTGTTAATTCAAAAAACCTTTGTCTGTTCTTGATTGTGATTGGTCTAGGAAATGTCTTGAGGATCATGACATAGCTCCATCTTTGAGAATGTTGGTTGTTTAATCAGTGCCAGAATACATTTTGATCACTGACTGTACATTTATCTGTTCTCACAGTTGACGATATACTCAGTAGATGAACTCTCACCTCATGATTTATATTTGTTTATAGTCATCCATCATCACCACTTTGGTAGAGACACAAAGAATTTGGTTTAGCTGATGTTCAGTGTTGACATGTCTCAATTTGAATCTAGTGAGTACTTTAGACATGTTTAGTTTAGGCAGGTTTTTAGTTAAAATTGCCAGTGTCCTCTTTAGGAAGGTTTTTAGTTAAAATTGCCAGTGTCCTCTTTGGGCAGGTTTTTAGTTAAAATTGCCAGTGTCCTCTTTAGGCAGGTTTTTAGTTAAAATTGCCAGTGTCCTCTTTGGGCAGGTTTTTAGTTAAAATTGCCAGTGTCCTCTTTAGGAAGGTTTTTAGTTAAAATTGCCAGTGTCCTCTTTAGGCAGGTTTTTAGTTAAAATTGCCAGTGTCCTCTTTAGGAAGGTTTTTAGTTAAAATTGCCAGTGTCCTCTTTAGGCAGGTTTTTAGTTAAAATTGCCAGTGTCCTCTTTAGGAAGGTTTTTAGTTAAAATTGCCAGTGTCCTCTTTAGGAAGGTTTTTAGTTAAAATTGCCAGTGTCCTCTTTAGGCAGGTTTTTAGTTAAAATTGCCAGTGTCCTCTTTAGGAAGGTTTTTAGTTAAAATTGCCAGTGTCCTCTTTGGGCAGGTTTTTGGTTAAAATTGCCAGTGTCCTCTTTGGGCAAGGTTTTTAGTTAAAATTGCCAGTGTCCTCTTTAGGGAAGGTTTTTAGTTAAAATTGCCAGTGTCCTCTTTGGGCAGGTTTTTAGTTAAAATTGCCAGTGTCCTCTTTAGGGAAGGTTTTTAGTTAAAATTGCCAGTGTCCTCTTT